CTACCTGAAATCAAACAGTTAAAACTTAAATTCATTTTTTTTTTCACGGCACCATTAAGTGGTGCCTTTAATATTATTATCCTGGTCACGGCACCATTAATGTGGTGTTGTTGGCCGTGATCGTATAAAAGTAACGATACTAAGAGTATCAAATGTGAATTAATTCCGCGTAAATAGTTAAAGTAAAATTTAGTGATTAGTACATTGTGTGATCTTTAATAATAAGAATAAAATGACTTACAAAATAAGGTGTGCATGAGTCTGTATTTCTCTTTTAAATATACATTTATTAAATCACAAAACGAACTTTTCTTGATTAGCCTAGATAAATCACAAAAACACACTTTTCTTGATTAGCCTAGATTATATACGTTACAAAAAAAACTTCATTCATGAATGCCTTTCGGCATGTCCTACTCGTTAGTCCTATGTGACTCTCACAGCGTTCCTTTCTTACGGTATACTGTAATTCCTAATCCTACAGCATCGATGGCACTTTACTTATCAGCATCTTGCAAGAAGCTTAATTAATAGGCAGTGCAATTATTCGCGATTAGAAGAGAGAAGATTTCTTATAGATAGGCTTGAATTTGGCGCATATGGTCGGCACTTCGAAAAATCCAATTATCAGGATTATACACGTTGAGTCACAGCACAGAAACAATTTTTACCTCGCATCATAATCAGCAAAGTTTACCTGATTTCTTATATTCTTCATACAAGAACATATTTTCTCCTCCATCTTATGCAAAGGAATATCAGCTCGATTACATTATGTTTTACCATGGACGATGGCGAGAGCTGTGTGTGTGGCCCGAAGGCCCACACACTCGTTAACACGACGACAGGCAGAAAGAGAGACAAAACCAGTCCGTCCAGTTTTTATCCACTGCGACGCACGTGGCAGGGCGCGATAACGATTCAAGAATCAATAAAGCCACCGTGTTCACAGTGAGAATTCTGTGTTCTTACAAAGTGGTATTTTTTTACTGTGCTGTTTTGGCGAACTTCAGAATCTATCATTGTTTTGAGTATGTGCACCAGTATAACCAATAATTTTGTTCTGTTGAAAATTCCAATAAATATGTCAATCAAAATTTTTTCATTTTCAATAACCTCTCTGTTACTGTTTTCACTATCAGTAGCAGTATTTTCTGGGTCTAGAACCATACTAAAATTTCATATTTGGTTTGTGATATCCGAAAACCTTCAAATTCATGGCTATCGTCTTCATGATCCTCACCATGAAATATGGCAGTGGCAAGCAAATTTTAAAGTATCTAGAGACACACCCTTCCACAATTTTACGATGCTCCACACAGCAGATTTTATGCTAAAATATTTTTTAAATTCTTTAATAGTCTTGCCATTATTCAAGAAGTTTAACATGGATTATAAAAATTATTTCAGCAAGTGCACTATTCCAATATCCGTAGTCTGAATGATGGATGTACAATTCGGAGGAAAGAATGATATGGATACAGTATCTTTCACTAAAACTTTAAGTGAAGTATGAGCCGAACATTCAGCCACAATCAGGACAATTTTTGCGTCATCGGGTAAACCAACCAAATTCAAATGTTGCCAAGCCTCGGATATGAAATAATTTTTAAATCAATCATTCGTTAACTCTTGTGTCATCCATGCTCTTTTATTTGCACAATATATAACTGGGAAAATCTTTACTCTTTTAAATGCTCGAGGTCGTGTATTTTTCCTGATTATGAAAAGTTGACACTTGTGTGTTTTTGCAGTATTTGCATTTGTTAAAATTGTTAGTCTTGCTTTGGAATCTTTGACGTCAGTTGGAGATTTTTCTGTAAAGGTTGGCAAGATATTTTGCAGTACATATTGCCAAAAAAGGCCAGTTTCATCAGCTTTGTAAAATTATTCTGGAGATAACTTTTCGTTAATGAGTTTAATGAATTCATCTGCAAATAGTTTAGCAACTTCAATATCAGCTGAAGCTTTTTTGCCTGAAATTTTGAATTGTTTTATACCATGACGATATTTGAATTTGGTTAACCATCCTGTCAAATATGTGCATTTAGTTTTTAAGTTCATTTCTTCATGAAATATTTTGGCTTTGTCATTAGCAGTGGACCCGTCAATGGCACACCCTTGCTTTGACGCTGTCTTACCCATTCAGTTATCACATTGTCATGATCTTCACGTTTAGCATTACGAATATTTTTTCTGTTATGCATTGACAGTGGGGTGTCGGAATCCACAAAAAGATTCTTTTTCTGTTTTTTTGTGCCATATGCAGTTGACTTTCCTATGTCATACTCCTCACATATTTTGAGAAAGATATATACCTTTATCCATTTTCTGAAGCAGTTCTACTTTTTGTTTAATGGACATCAAAACACGCTTTCACTTTATAGATCCAGTTGCAGCTGCAGTATTGGAAACTCGTTTTGACATAATCAAAAGTTCAAACTTTAATTTTCATAAAATTTCTGTATTAACTGAAATTCCTTAGAATCAGTAAAGTATAATTTTAGCCTATCTTAATAGCATCCACTATGCATATTTGGATATGTATGCATTTTTGGAGATGAAAGCCAAGTTGTTCAAGTCTAATACAAGCAAGATTAAATATTGTCTTGCTTGTATCGCATATTGTGACAATTAAGCCTGAACTATATTAGTTTAGTTATTTATTATACTAATATATGCAAGAAATAAACGTATTTATTTCTTGCACATGCTCATATCTCATCTGAGTCCTGAATAAATAAATTTCCACAGATACGTAGGCTTATTAAGGGCTAGTGCTAGATATCTTACTGCCTGATGCAGTCTCTGTGGGTGCTAAGTTCTGCTTCCAAGTGCTTCCTTCAGTTTTAAATTTGGGGTCCCGTGCTTTCCCTAAATTCTGCCGTGCGGTGTGGCCATATGAGTTCTTGCGTTGGTTCCGAATTTTTTTGAATAATGAATCAGGTATTCTTAATTCCAGTAGCACTAAATGCAATCTTTTGGCTTATGAGTATCATTAACATAATCTATTTTTAGCGTATGGAAAGGAATTTTTCCTCCTAGGTATTTCTTAGCGCATTTAATTTAAATCTGTAATCATTGCCTAGTGTAATGTCAACATAAAAGATTACCATACTCTTTGTTATTCAATCACCAATATTAAAAAATTTGTTTAGGCATCACTGCATAAGTCATTACTCAAATTGTCATGCATTAATAAACATGCCATGATGAAAGGAAAGCAAAATATAATAAATAATGATTCGCCATGTTGCCGTCAGGGATATAAAATATTGGTAGGTGTAAAATCGGCAATGTTTCTATGTTGAATATTTTGGTTGAGATGTATACCAAGCAGATACGCAGCTACCAAGCCAAATTATTGATCAGGTAAATTTATGCTAAAATGATTTTCTTCAAAAAATGAGGTATTCTATTTAGTGCGAAGTAAAATTATGAAACGGGACTCTCCACATGTTTTATTATGGGGAGAAGAAATCAAATGCTTATGCGTAAAGCATACCAAAAAAAAAAAGGGGGGGGCGTCCGGATCTCGGACTTTGTACTGTATATAATTTCATAACAAGAGAGAGAAAACTTAAGATTTTTTTTTTAAGTGAACCAATCATTATTTCTTCATCTGCTGCTAGGTCATGACCGACATTTTGGGAATCACTAATCTAAACTTTGTATAGATGATTATGCAACATAAATAGGATTGAAAGAATAGTAGTTGATCACTATGAATGATGGATAAAACGGGGGGGGGGGGGAATTTGTCTTCCACTGAACCAAGCTCTGTAATTTGTAAGATTGTTTTCTGATAATCTGAAAATAATTTTCTTCCGAGATATAAGATAGTGTAAGTAGCAGTGTTTGCTTCCTGGTCCATGTTAAACTTCAATCCTTTTGACTCTAGAAAAATGTGGACTGCATGGAGAATAATCTAAAGACTGCCTTCTAATTTTATGCAGAACTCCCGTAATCTATTGTGCATTATGTATCCTGGTATTGTGTCAAAAGCAAAATTGATTTTTATAAAGCAGTTTAGGTCTTTTTTCATGAATTGCTTCCTTCAAATGAAATCACAAAATGTTATAATAACATTATGTATTTGTAGTCCCCCCTGAAAACTATTGCCACAGTACTATTCTATAGATATCTTCGAAATTAGGAACTCCAAATTTTTTTGGGGAGGGTCACTCCCAAACTATTATTGACTATGTTTCGTATATGCTGGACATGCAGGAAAGGTGCTTTATTTCATGGCCATAATGTCTGCCCATAAATCATCAGTTTTAATTGTTCTCAAGAATTCAGAATATTTTTCCATTTGTTAAGGAAGCATCTGGCTATGTGAATGTGATGGAGCTTCTTAAGGATTCTCAAGTTCTTAATTCTTCTTAAGTGCGTCTTAAGAATATCTTTACATTTTGCTACATCAGTTTAGCTAATAATTCAGAACAGATAAACATCTGTCTTTCATTAGTGATGCTTTCATATGTTTGGTCTCTATTCACAGTGTTTCAGATGGTCATGGATGTTGATGTGTGCCCCAATTTCAAGGCTCATTTTTCACATCGTGTTTGACTTCTTTAAAAGGCATTTGTCCATTCTTCTTTCACTGTATGTATTTATCATCTCAAATATTCTGTGGTAACTCTTATGCAATTTGATGTAAAATTCAGTTTTATGCAAGTTGCTATAATATTCAGTTATCCTTTATCTGGTAATCTTTTCATCTGTCATTGTAATCCATATCATAATTTGACTTATGATATAGCACACAAACAAATGCCAATTGTATATTCGCTTTATTTGTATAAAAGAAAGAAGAGAAAAAGATGATGTAGGCTAATCTTTATAGACAATAATCAATCGTTCTGTGTCCCCATTCCACAAACTTTTAGAACAGCCTTGATATTGTTGGTATTATGCATTGTAAACTCATTCTTACATATTTAAGAATTTAAGTTAAATAACATATTGAATGCATATTGTTTAATATAATTTGTTTTGCAGATTTTTGAATGACCCTGAAGGGGAAATGTATAAACTGTATCAAAAAAGGGTTTCTGACTTGGTAGAAGCTAAGAAACGAGCAGAAGCTGATGGCCATATGATGACTTTTGGTAAAAAAGGTGAATTTTTTCCCCCCTCTGATATTTGATTATGTTCCAGTACTTTGTTTAGATTCTTTTTTTAATCTAGATTTTTTTTTTTTTTATTTTTAATGCCATTTTCTGAATGGTGTAAATAACGTAATTCTTTAGCAATCTAAAAACTAATTTTTAATTAGCTTAAAATGGAATACATTTAAGAATCTTCAACAATGCTTCAATATTAGAACTTCCTCTTATTACCATTTTGCCCCATTCACTATAGGCTTATGATTCTACATTTCTAAAAAATTTCTTGGATTCTTCTTTAGAATTAGTCTACATGTGACCTATGTAAATTTGTTACGACCTATATCCAATATATATATAAATTTATTTAAACCACCTATATATAAATTTACTACCTTTCATCTTCTTTTATATCCTTATCTGAGTTTTGATATGAAAGTTGTGAGGTCCCTTACCCGTCTCCCCCCAAAAAGATTGTCTCTCTAAAGGAGTTGTCAAACAGTTTTCTGTGCAAATTTATGTCATGTGTCTGTGTATACATTAGCTGCATGAGACTATATATTGTTGCATAGTAAGTTAATAGCCTTTGACTATAAGCCATTGTACTTTTCTTTGAATGTCCTTTACAGATATTGCAGCGTAGTACCATAAGAATTAGCATTAATGTTTTCCTCGTGTTCAGTATATTTGGAAAGTATTGATTTTTATGGCCAAAAGTTTCCAGTTGAGGTCTTACTTTTCAAAAGAAGTGACAATGCTTCTGTAATCTCCTTTGTTGTTGTGTTGCTAGCTAGCAGTGGCGACACTCTAATCCATTCCTGGTAAACAGTGTGATTAAAAATATGCTTTAATAACAATGATAATTTTCGAGGTGTGTAGGCAGTATGTTGTTTGTACTTCTTATGTTCCTTGTTAAAAACTTTTGGAATCTGAAGAGTGCAAGGATGTTAATAGTTCAAGTGTTCCCAAATACGAGGGATCTTGATATTTCCTTTTTATTATGGTCTCTGCCATTTAATTGGGGTTAAGATTGTCAATAAATCACAATCATATGTCAAGGAATGGCCACGTAATAATGATCCTCATCACTTACTGTGTGGTTATCAGAAGCAAAGCTCTGAATAGACCATGTTTTATTGTTGTATTTTTAATACATTTTCTGTCCTTTTTCCAAACAGTGTTAAAATTGTTCGTTAGCCAATTGTTTTGATTGGAGTGAGGAAAATGCTAAGAACTGCCAGCTGTTTAGTGAGAGTTAAACATTGTACATTAGTGATTTATTGATAATTTTGACTGTGTTTAAATTATGATAGTCACAATACTTAAGAACTGTGATCTCTGAGCCTTGATTGTTGTTTGCTCAAGACCAAGTTATCAGTACTCGCCTTCCAGTGTTTTTGAATTAGTTCTTATATAGTCTAGTCCTCTAATGATTTTCAGAATAAACTTTCTACTGTTAAAATAACAGAACTTTTTTTAGTTGCTACAAAAGAATGATTGGCATGTCATTTATCAACACCTGAAATCAATGAGCAATGCAGTAACGTGATGGGGAAACCTGCCGATGTCTGAATGATTGGGTATTTGGGGCGACTTTGATGTGAAAGAGTTAAGACAGATCAATATCTTTATGTTATGACAATTTATCAATTTCTTATTTCACTTAGTTTTAATCATAAATTAGATCCACTTTTAATTTTGTTCTGTATTTATTTTTCAAATATAACATGAAAGAGACTCCTTGTTCAGGCAAATCAGTTATGCAAAAAGGCAATAAAAATTTAATAGCTTTATTTGAAATTCCTTTATATTCTTTTTCCTGTTCAGCCAATAGTTCATAAGTGTGTTATTTTTGAAATCTTCAGTTAGAGGTCGATCGCAGGAAATTTTTATCAAATGTTCTTTTTCTTCACAAGATAAAATTTCAGGTACATTTGAACAAAATGGATTTCTAATCTAATTTTCTTTTTTATAATCTTTGTGAAAATACATGCTAAAATTATTTATCAGTGAAAAACAATGATTTTTATTGTTGGATGCTAATTCCTCTTTCATTTTCAAATTATTTTCAGTTAGAAAACTTTCTAAAAGTGGGAAAAATGCTTAAAATATTATTATCCAATTCTTTGATTATTAACTTGATTTTTTTTATTGTTGCATTTATTTTATGTTTAATGGTAAACAAGTTAATACTTTGTTCTTGTAATCCTGAATTTAATTCATTTAACTTTTCAATAATATCAGCTAAATATGCTAAACCATAATTCACTAAATAATATTTTTGCAATTCAAATTTTGAATCATAGAGGAAAATTTAAATTTCTGATCGAAGTTCAAAACGCCGATTTAAAACTTTGCCTCTCGATAACCACTTTACTCCAGAATGTAACAAAAGCATTTTGTGTTCACTGCCCGTTTCTTGGCATAAAATGTATATATTCTCTCTAGTTTACGGCTGAGCTTTTTATAAAAATAACAATTTTCACAAATTGATTCAAAATGATTTTCTGGTTTTCGGGCTTTGTTTTGGCTACTAAAGCTTCACGATCAATTGGGGCAGTGAGTAAATTTAGTTTCAGGTGTGAATTCCTTTATTTGAGAAATAACATGTAATGTTTTCCTGTTAAAGCCCAAGCTGTGTACTGCATTTGGCAATGCACTTATTCCAAGGAATATCATTCTCAGATTTAAAATTATCAATTATTTTGAAAATTTCATTTGCAGTTGCTCTATCATGAAGAGATTCACAAATAAATACTCTTCAGCAATTTGTTTATCTTCTTGGAAACATATGTAAACTAATAATTGAACATTGAAAAAGTTCATTACATCAGTATTTTCATCCAACTGCAAAGCAAAATACTCACTGTGTTTTATTTTTTGAATGTGTCTCTTTTATGGAATTTGTCATTTCACTAATTTGTTGACTTACTGTATCATTTGATAACAGAATATTATTAAGTTCATTAGTCTTTTTTTTTTTTTTTTTGGTTTAAAAATGTTAAAACAATATCTTTAGCTGCTGGTAATGCAAGGTTTTCTTCAATATTGTGAGCCTGCCCAGTCTTGGCAAAGTAAGGAATACAAAACAGCAGAAGACAAAATACCTCCTGTTAGAGACAGCAAATCTACTTAAAAGATATTCTAATTTTAAAAGGAGCAATATGAGGCTGGAAATGATGACATAAAGTGTAGACATGCTAATAAATCGATCAACTATAGAAGAATTAATGAGATACTATTATCTTTTTATAGGGACTTATTTTTCTTTTCTGTTAAATTCAACATCCATTTCTCTTACTCCTTTTTAAAAACATCATTTATGTTTTTTATGACAAATTTTGTTTCTATGACTAAAAGAATATATGTGAAAATAAAAATAAATTATTTTCTATGAGCGCTAGTGACCTTGAATAAAGCTCATATCGCATAAATTTACGAGTGTTGGAGAAAAAAAACTTAAACAGGAAGTTAGGGTATTTAATTTTTTAATAGTTAAAAATTACTCTGTTTCTTTATGTACCACCTATTTTTCTCCGCCGAACCACCGGTTGAGAATCACTGCTATATGCGTTAAAATACTTTCATAAATACAAAAGGTTTCCTTCACTACTCGTTATTTTCTCAGTATAAAAGTGTACGAAAATTTAAAAATGAAATTAGTCAAAGACCATAAAATTAAAAATATTTAATGATATTATTTTTACATCAGAATTATTGTTGCAGACTGTTCAGTAACTTTATTCATGGACTGTAAAGGGAATTAAAATCAGTTTGAAGTTCACTTGAAATGGTGTTTCTGCACAGCAGGAAAACTCCCAGTACATAAGATTTCAAAGTTGGCAACTATGATAGTGTTTTTCTCTTATAATTTCTGAACAGGGATTTTACTTCATGCTTATAATAGTAGAGCAAATAAATGTCTCCTGAAGAAACATTTTAACAAGATCCTATTTTTGTTTTATTTTAAATCTTTATCTTATTTTTATTTTAGATCAAGAGGCCAGAACAAATGCTCAGCCCTCGGGCAAGAAGAGGAAGAAAAGTAGATGGGAACCTGCAGATTCACAGAATGATGTTAATACGATGCCCCGTTATGTACAGCAAGGTTTGTTGCTATTTAAAGAATTTTATGATGCAAACTCTCTGTAGCATGTTGTATCTTTTGTAATTTTCTATGCTTAAAGTAATAATTAAATGGATTATTTAAAGAAATGCTTATGACAGACTATCCTTCTGTGTCTGTGTGTGCGTGCATGTCCCACACACACAGACTTATCCAAAAGTCATTGCATGCTGAACTTACAAAAATTGCAGTAATTACAAAAGGGATATTAATGGCAAATTGTTTCAATGAATGACAAGCCTGAATTCTTACAAGTAATGTTATCACTTGAAATTTTAGTTGCTGTTTGCTTCAAAAACCATTTCTTTGGTTAGAGGTAACAATGAGTTTTCCTCAAGCAAAAAAATTTTTTTATTATTATTGGGCATTGCGTTTGCAATGTATTCTTGTAGAAAATTAGTTGAAGTGTTTAAACAGACCTTCTGAGATGATTGTGAATTTAACAAGATAAGGATTTTCCACTAACCTGAGTTTCAGAAACTAAGAAATTTTTTTTGCATTCACATAGTCAGGGATTACAAACATGTGGTCTCTGAAGCAATTTTATTAGAAAGACAAAGATATTTTGTTTATGTATTTCCTGCAAATGGGGTGTTACAAAAATTTCAAGGTTTTAGTTATTTGAAGTTCAAGTTTATATTATTTTCATTTTCAATAAAAACAAGCGTGAACAAAATGCTAGAAAACCTACAAAGCAGTTAGTTAATTTACAATGTGATAGAAATATTATTCAAAGATTCCAAGATACATATTTCATTAATTTTTATTAGCACCTGTCAAAGAATAAATAATCTCCTTTATGAATTCTCACACTAAGAATAATGATTTTTTTTGTTTGGGAATACATTTACATCTTAACCCCTTTTTTTTTCACAGCTGAAAAGTGATGAGAAAAGAACCCAACTGACTGACTAGCATGTACAGTTCGTGATAATTTCCAGTAATTTCTTTCCGTGGCTACAAACTTTATCTGAATTTAATACCATCAGTGTCAAGCACTAGTATGATATAAAGAGTTTATAATGATTTGTGTACAAGAATATGTATTTTTATTTATATATTTATACTTATTTAATAAGTAAGAGAAAGAAATTTTTTTGCATTTATTTATTTTGTTCCACTTGGGAAGGTTTCTCTGAAAAGTTAGAAATTTTTCGTAATTCATTTATTTTTAGTTTAAATTTAAGTAAATTATTTAATGATTAATAAACATGCTAAAATTATTTACAGGAATGTCAGTCACAGAATTAAATACTTACTGTCAGTATGGTTGAATCACAAAGTGTAACGAACAAATATCTCTTGCAAGTACCAAACTTTAGATTTCAGATAGGAAATAGAGTTTTTTCCCCTTTATGATATTATTATTCTTATAATATCATTCATGTTTTCATAAATATTGACTAAGCAAAATTTTTAATTTATTTAAAATATTTTTATTTTGTTAACAGAACTTTTATATTTTTATTTAAAAAAAAAAAAAAAAACTGCCCTCTCAGTTGTGTGTGGATTGTGCATACAGTCTGCATGCAATTTGAGTTTGACAGCCTTGCCCTTATTTGATTCCGATGTCATTTTCTCTCACTCTTTGATGGTAACTGCAATATTTTATTGCTGACATGATCTATTTTATCTGAACTCAGAAGAAATAAATAGCCACTTTGTTTCTTATCTGTGCAAACAAGTAATTAATATTTGTGTATTATAATAATATTGTAAATTTTTGTATTATAATAATATTACAAACATCTTAAAAGCTTCAGTTACCTAGTCTTGCATAAGTTATTTTCTTAAGAGGATGATATTCCACTTAAATGTGAATGCTAACATAGAAGTGATAATTTTATCAGTAATTTTTTTTTTTTTAATGTACTTCAAATAGTGTCTTTCTTTGGTTAAACTGGATGGACTTATTGGTCAAATTTACTGCATTACTTGCTATTAAATTATTTCTCTACATCTTTAATTTACTTGGTAAAATTCGGGTCTTATTAGTGATAGTTGGATCTTTTAATGTTTTTAAACTCTTAAACTAATTCAAATACCATAAAATGTATATCTTTGCTCTAGATCAAGGTCTCGTTTCCTATGCAATCCAAGTGTTTGGAAGTACTGATTTAACCCCAGAACAATGGAAGCAGTTGGAAGATCAACGAAAAGTTTGTTCATTTATTTTTTTAACATAATAGCATTTTCATAATAATTTTAGTGCACATTGAGTATAACATGAGTAACTGCATATGTATTCCCCCTCTTTCAGATGCGTTTGCTATATGAAATGATGCAAGTTAAGCAAAAAGAAGCACAGATAAGAAAATTAACAGGTAAAGTAAAGTATGAATATGATTCAGATGAAGATACAGAAGGCGGTACATGGGAACACAAAAAACGAGCTTCCGAAATGGAGAAAACAAAAGGTAATAAATCGTCACGAAGGAATTTAATTTGTCATAAATTTGTACATGCATGCATAAGTTGTGCAATTATTTTATTTTATTTTAAATAAATATTTATTTGTTTACTTTTTGTGGCATGTTAATGTTATTAATAATAAAAATATGTTCGCGTTGGTAAAGAATATTAAAATGTTAAATATCGTGTCTTTTAAATGTATTCAGTAACAATTCTGCTGTAAATATTTAACTTTCCAGTAGCCATGTTCAGAATCTAACAAAGTATATTTCTGAAATACCAATCTATTTTTGTTTATTAAAACATTGAAAAAAGGCCACTGAAAAATTAATATTTATACAGAAAAAGCTTGTGGGACCATTTTTTTATATTATATACAGTTTGATATATTTACACTTTAAAATAAAATAATAAAATCATTTCTGATTTAAAATTATTGAATTTATTCTCAAAATAAAAAATACTACATTCCTTACTGTAATTGTTTCATAAGAATAAATTTAAATTTTAACAAACACTTATAAAAGTAAAAAAAAGCAAATTTAAAGCCTAAAAAAAGAAAAAAAGCCAAAACAATTTTTTAAAAAATTGTGCAAACATATAAAAGATTTATTTTAAATATTGTATATTATTTTAGGAAAAGTTGCAACTATGCACAACAAGCAAGGCATATTTACATGTATTTTACTCCATTTGTAACAAATATTTTGCATGCATTTTGCATTTATAGTTTGTTAATCACATTTATTATTACCTTTTATATAACAGGTTTAGGATGTTTTCATTTGAATGTTTTTCTTAGATAGTATAATTATTATTTCTTGCTCTTAAAATTTTAAATAGTGTTCCCCTTAGCCAAATTTTTATCAAATATTATTTCCATATTATCGTCATGATCAGAACTAAATGCACTTTGTTTGAAACCATGTCATTGTTCTTTTGGTAATAGTCTTCATCTAAATTTAGCATCTAATGTCCAGTGCCCTCTCTTAAAGAATTTGTTCATTTTTTTATCATTTCTTTTGCGTAAAGAAGCAGTTCTTTTACTTTAACTTCTGTCTGATTTTCATTTAATCCAGAAAAATTCATCGTGATCCCTTTCTGTTCAATTAATAAATTCAGCACATGTAAATAATGAATTTATTGCTTTATTTATTTTATGCAATTTTTAATACTCGTTTGCATTTATTGCTTTATTTATGTTATGCAATTTTTAATACTTTCTCGATGAAGCATCAAGTGGATAAGACAGCTGACTGGTAATTTTTGCCTTTGGGTGCATGGAAAAGGATTCATTCATGCCCCCTAAATGTATCCATTTGTCCCATAGATACATTCGTTTATCTCCATGGATGCATGGGAATAAATGAATGGCCTTAAGTTGCACCATTTATTTATCAGGGTGGACTTACAAACAAATATTTGTAATTCAGAATTTTTTCAGGTTGACAATCTTATTAACTGCAGATTTTACTGTTTACATCTGATACTCTATATAGGCTTAGAATGGTGGTAGTTTTGCTGTTCAGTTATGTATTTGAGTTTTTTTAAGAACCTGAAATTTGTTCTTTTATTTATTTATTTATGTTCGTTTTTAGTTTTCTGATGATTGATAATTCACAACTAATTTAGCATCATAAACCAGTTATCTATAATTATATAATGGCTTTTAAAAGCCTTTATTTTTTTAGAAACAGGCATACAAGGAGCCTTCTGTTCACTTTTAAGCATCTCTCACTCTAGATCTGCAATAAATAAATTTGAATTCGCTATTGCTTAAATGTTATCTTAATATTTTAGCAATTTTCATAGTATGTACTGTTTGAAACCACATCTACCGTGAAATTCCCCAAGCCTCTCATTGATAAATTACATTTGCACCTAAATACTTCTTCCGCACTATTTTCAACATAATTTGCTTCTTAAAGATACTTTTTTCATGAATTTTAATGAAATGTTCAAGCAAGCTCTCTCTCTCTCTCTCTTTTTTTTTTTTTTTTTTCCCCAGCTATTTCCAGTTTTGATTTCAATTGAATTAGAATCTCATAGTCATGTAAAATTTTCACTTTATTTGTTTTATGTACAGCTTTAAACTGTGAATCATTTTACTAAAACAGAATGACCAAAAATATTTTCTTCACTCTCCAGTTGCATGAGGAAAATTAATTTTATTTTGTTTACCTCTTTTGGTTCTTTTATGTGGAGTCATCCTCTCTCATTGCTGAGAACTAGATATTTCATCCCACCCCTCCCAGTCTGTAAAGCTATGTAGAATTTTTTATAAGAATTATCTGCTTCTGGTTTGCAGTCATTCTCTTCTGAATATGAAACGTCTTTTGTTCTATACAGTCACTTTCACCTCTAAGAGCATTACCATTGTCTCCATCATCATTAAAAACATTCAGTGTGTTTATCTAAATCATAGTGTTTTATTAAAATCAAATGTATGTTCAGAAGATTATCAAAATATGTCCTGATGAATTCATAAATGGAATATCATGAAAAAATATATAATGCTTTAAATTAATTTATATGTAATGTTTTATTTATGATGTGCTATGTCCTTGTTAAAGTACCAAGAGAGTAAGATAGCTGAATACTAGTGGTGTTCGAATTCCAATGAACGCCCTGGTTTGATGGGTATTTATATTGTTTTCCCTATGTGTATAAAAGCCAGTTTCATTTAAAAGGTTCTCCACATACGCAGATTTCAAACGCAGTTATTAAAGCAGCTACCACATAATCCTCTGACAACATTTGAAATTCACACATTCCAGATTGGGATGTCATATTTCGCATTCTTAGTGACTAAGTATAGTAATCACTTTTTAACCAAGAGGTGCCGAATATTTTTATTTGAGCATTTTATTTTTTGTTTATTGATCAGCTTATAACTGCTTTTCCTAATAGTAGCTGTTTGTGATTTGAATTGTTACTTTTAGTATGGGCTGAAGAACTGACAGAGCAGGCAAAGGGTAAACATCACATAGGAGACTTCTTGCCTCCAGAAGAGTTAGAAAATTTCTTAGAAAAATGGGAAGCTGTGAAGCAGGGTCGTCCACCTGATCTCTCTGATTACAAAGAGCACAAAATAACCTCAGACAATATTGGTTACCAGATGCTGCAAAAATTAGGATGGTCAGAAGGACAGGGTCTCGGTGCAAATGGAGGAGGAATTGTTGATCCTGTGAACAAGTAAGAGAGCCTCAAAATTTTTACATATTTCAAAACCATATTGGAAAACTGGTATTGTTAACTGTTTGTTATGGCATGTATGCTAACTTTTATAAATTTGATGATTAGGTGTTAGCATCTTTTGCTATGCTAAAACCTCATGCATATGTTACTGCTTGAGTGCAGGAATCAGTTAATGTTCTGATTATCTAGGCCGCTGGTCTCAAACTGAAATTGCATGATGACCAAACGCACGATCTGAAAGCATCTAATGGGAGGGAATATTTATATAATAAATGAAAAAATATTTTACTAAATTTGAAGTTTTACTCACTAATTATTTATAAAAACATACATAAGGAATAATATTAAGAAAGGGGGTAATTATCCCAAATCTAAACGTTGCTACATGCAAGATTTTTTTTATTTTATTTATTTATTTATTTTTTTTTTATGGACAAATCTATTTTACCTATTGACTTTCTTTCTTATCTGTGACTTTCAATTCATTATAATATCCTGTTTGGCATGGTAGTAAGGAAACTGGCTGGGATAGACTTTCACCCGAATTTGAATCCCAAAGAAAACATGAACAGAGATGATCACAATTCTAAATCTCTAAAGTCGAACATATGTCATCCTAACTCTCTATAAAACTATCCACATATGATGGAAAGACTTACTGGCAAGTTTACCAGACATAGTTCATTATACTGGCAAATGAAAATGGATGGGATTCCAAAGCTAAAACCTGCCATCTCACTGCTTCTTTGAGAGCAAATGCAACAGCTATCCTCCAAACTCTGTCCCCGAACCAGAGCCTAGACTACAAAACGCTATCTGGGGTGGTTGAGCTGCATGTTGGGGAGAGGTGTTTAAAACATTATAGCAGGCTTCAGTTAAAATCTCGACAGCAGAAACCCACAGAAGCACTCCTTCCAGCAGCTTGTCTTAGATGTTGAAAGGCTGTCTCATCTCACTTTTTTAGACTGCCCAACAGAAGCAAGGGAAATACTGTCTCTGCAGTAATTCATCGATGGCATCCAGGATCCTGAAATACAAAAAGTCCTGAGAATAGCAGATGTCAAAGATTTTAAAAAGTTTTAGACCATGCCATGAAATTCAAGGCAGCCCAGTAAGCAATTCGTAGAGGCTGACTCCCAATCAGAGCTGTTTAAGTTCAGGAAACAGTGGATCGTGTGACTGCTTATTTTTGCACGATTTAACCAAGTCAGTGCCTTGAGACAGAATAGGAGTGACAAGAAACTGACCCTAAAGTGCTGGAACTGCTGTAGTGAAGGCCACATAGAGAGGAATTGCAGAAGATCTCCAAGGCACAAAAGTTTAGCATAGGGAAATATGATGTCATAGGAGTGCCCCCACTTGAAGAAAAAGTTCAGTTAGATGCCAGACAAAAATGTACATTAAGCCATATCCTTTGATTTGTAGAATTTTCCATATGTAGATTAATTAACTGTATATAGTATAAATAAATATTTAACTTAACCTTGCTTTTAGTCAATCATAGATATAGATATAATGTTCTTCATATAGAAAGATAGACTTTAGATACAATAGAATTTTCGACTCTAGAATAGCCTTTTGCGTTATGGTGCATTCTGGCCATGAACATCTGCACAATTTAAAAATTTGTGTTTTTTAAATTTGGAGGAGCATGTAGCAAGTGTGTGAAGATTGCCAAGGTAGTAAAATAGAAATTGTAAAAACTGGGCGAACTACTCTTAGATCTCTTACAACAAGATTGATTTCTAAAATCTTAGAAAATGAAATAGGAGAAAAAGAGCTGGAAGAACTTTCAGAACAAATAAATTTGAAATTTAAACAGCTTGTGGAGAACTCTTTATTATTATTATTATTTGTCCACTGGCCCAAGAGTCGGCACTACCAGCTTTCTCCCTCTTCTACACTAGGGGAAAATTCGGACTGGTTACTCTGTTCTTGGCTGCCGTCGGTGAAGCACGCGCTCACCTCTCCTCTGCTCTGTGATGTCTTCATAGCTGTGATATGACTTTCATTATTTTTTACCTACATGGACTTGCTACCTGTAAAATGCTTATCGTGCAAACTGTAATCAATGTGACTGTGTATAAGTGAACGTGTGTTGAAATATATATCTTTTTCTAGTGTTAAATAAAAATGTTAATATTACTCGAGCCAAGCTGTCATCGTTTTATCTACAGCAACAACACACGCCACGCAAAATGGCATCCATAGATGAAAGCCATAAATGATGACCCATCAAGTTAGTAATCACGTGCCTCCTAGATTCTCCTTGCATCATCAAGTTCTGTGCTTATAAAGTACTGTGATGTGGGAATGTCGTTTGTTAATGCAAACTAATATCGTAATCCACCATTATTTTCGTGTTATCGTCAAAATAGTATGTGAAAAACAATTGTGTCTCCTTAACAATGTGCTTGTGAATGGGCCTCATGCAAAACATCAGAGTGCTTAGAAGTGATCGACATATAAATCCTACAACGTGTGTTAAGTTAGAATACAGTGCCACCTATTGGATAAGGATAGAAACGTTCACTTGGCCATCTGGTCTCAGCTAAGCAACATGCCAGAGCATGGAATAGATCTGAATTTAGTTAATTACTGTCAATAAATTAGTTAGTTCTTTTGCTATACAGTCCGTTCATTAGTTTAGAATCATAGTACATGGTCATAGTAGCCAGAGAAATGAAAAAAAATACTGGCATTAGATAGAAATAAAATTTTGTTAAAAGCAAAACTAACTAGGTTAAAAAATGTAGTGAAGAAATATGATAGTTCAAATAAGAACGAAATTCGAATAAAGTATAGATCCCTTCAAGGCATTCAAATGGATATTAGAAACTTAAGGAATAGATATTTCGAAAGCGTTGATGAAAAAGATGTCACAGCGATTGATGAAGAAATCGCCGAAATGGAAGAAAGAACTGAAGTACTCGAGGTAAGAATTATGGAAATTCTATCATCTATCACTCATTCTGAACATGAAAATGATTGTAGTAAATTTGATCCTAAAGTACAAGTACGTTTGCCAGAATTACCAATTCCTAAATTTTATGGTAAATATACCGAATGGAATAATTTTAAGCTTCAATTCAAAAACATCATAGCGAATAACACTCAATTGACAGAAGTTCAGAAACTCTACTATTTAAAGGCTGCATTAACTGATGAAGCAAAAAATCTTGAAACTGTTTGTGATACTTTTAGTTCTCTATTTAAAGCTCTTCAAGATAGGTATGAAAGTAAAAGAATATTAATTGAGACGCATATAAAGTCAATAATGGATTTACGTACTTTAATATTCGAATCGTCTAAAGGAATAAGATATGTAATAGATAACGTTACTAAAAACGTTATGGCTTTGAATGTTTTAAAGTATGAGAAAATAATTTATCGGATATTCTGTTATTAAATATCGTACTTCAGAAACTAGATTTTGGAACTCACAAACAATTTGAATTAAGCGTTAATGCTATGGAAGTTCCTACATTTGATGAATTAATTTCGTTTTTAGAGAAAAGATGTCAGTTAATGGATAACATTAACCGTAGTACTAATAAAGTGAAATATCCGTTAGGAAAAAATTCGAAATCAAAGGCTCTGATGGTTAAAACGATAGTGTTTCGATTTGTGTTATATGTAAAATAACAATCATCCACTGCATAAATGTGATTCATTTTTAAAACTAAATCTAAATCAAAGATATTGAAATAGTTAAAAAGCATAAACTGTGTCTAAACTGCCTCAGTAAGGAACATTTAATCGCAAAATGCAGTTCTAAGTTCAGATGCTTGGAATGCCATAAAAAACATCATTCATTAATTCATCGCCTGCTCAGAAATGGCGCCATGGAACAAAAGCTAGACAAAACAAAAACGGAAGCAACGAGTGACAAAATTATAAACAAGAATGCAGATGTCTCTAATAAAAACCGATCAAGTTGTCTTTTGACACCCAGAAAAAACGTTTTATTGGCAACTGCAATAACATATGTTTGCAATTCAGAAGGAAAAAGAATTCCAGTTTGCGCCATACTTGATAACGGCAGCATGAGTTGTTTCCTGTGTGAAGGAATTGTTAATTTGTTAAATATAAAGAAAGAAAGAATGTATGCATCTGTCACTGGAATTAATAAGAACGTTATAAATATTAATTATCAACTAGATGTACAGATTTCGAATAAGGATTTAACGTATGTAAGATCAGTTAATTGCTTGGTTATTTCTAAAATAACCAATGTAACTCCATCAAGGAGTTTAGATGTGCAGTCATTAAATATTCTCATTGATATTGAATTAGCGGATCCGCAATTTAGAACACCTAACAAAATAGATAGGTTATTAGGAGGCAAAATGTTCTTGAGATTTTAAAACAAGGAAAATTTCAATTAGAAAATCAACCGTTAATATTCCAAGAAACAGGTTTTGGATATATCGCGTCTGGTGCATGCAAGAGTAACTCAAAAGTAAATTATTGTGGTTTAGTTCAAAATAGTGAAGAAAGAGTTGAAGAAATTTTGCAAAGATTTTGGGAAGTTGAATCCATTGAAATATCGAGAATGCTTTGAGTGAAGAAGAAAAATACTGTGAAGAACATTTCAAGCGTACTCACTATAGACAAAATGATGGAAGATATGTAGTTCAGTTACCCATAAGGGAAGGTGTAGAATTAGGAGAATCGGAAACGCTGGCTGAAAAAAGATTGCATCAATCAACTAGAAAGCGATTCGAATATGAAAACATTATATAAGAATTTTATCAAGGAATATAAGGATCTAAATCACATGGAAGAAGTTCAAGAAATTGAAACATCGACATGCAGTTATCCTAGTCATCATGCAGTTTATCGGCGAGAGAAAGCCTCTAGCAAGCTTCGCGTTGTGTTTAATGCATCAGCGGCTACTAGCAATAGAATATCACTTAATTCAATATTAATGAAAGGGCGAATACCTCAAGAAGATTTATTTTCTATTATTATTAGATTTCGAAAGTACAACTATG